GGCAATTCTTCATTCCCAGACCACTGATGAAAAGATTAGTTACGGCCACTTGTTCTTTCGCCGCCTTTCCCCCGAACCACTGGATTTCTACTTGGCGTTGCTGACATTTAAGGCCAAGCTCCTGCACCAGGGAATCACACACCTTCGTAATTGAACACCCTTCGTCTAAGAGCACATATGTATTAATGCGCTTGTTTGGGCCATACAATGTGACAGGAACTACACGAAACAATGAGTTGTAGAAAGCCTGGGCAGAACAATTGAGAGAACGGCGTTATTCGCATTTGGGGCCTTGGAAGCTATGGTGAATCTGACAGGTCGACTGGCATTATCATCATGTCACAACTGATTGTAATGCCTCTGGCCATTTTCCATCGAGCCGAGACGCTGCAAGTCGCTGATTTCCTTGACATCATATGCGTTGTTCTACAGCTGCATGTAGCACTGGACGACGTTTCACTTCTTGACCTTCCTGATCTTGAACTATCTGGATAACTGGCAATCTCAGACAGCCTCTCGCTAAAGTTAAGAATTGTGGGATAAGGTTAAATCGCTATGGAATATCTCGCCTAGTCCAGGCTTTTGCTGATTGGTAGCTTGGTAACCAGCTCCTCTAATAATGTTGGATGAACCAGATGTTTCTCTTCACGTATGGATTGTAGAAACACAGTGAGGTTGCAAACGTAACCAATCTGTGGATGGCAGCGTCCGAAATGCATGGTAAATCGCGCACTACCTTAAGCTGACTACGCATGAGCTGCTATGGATGACCAAACCGAAAACGCAACTGTTTAATTACCGCATTCACATTACTTGGGTGAATCAGAAAGGATTTGATGGTATCTTTTGCCTCACCCTTTAAACATTTATTTAATCTCTGATTGTTTTCAAAGTTGGAAAGGGTACAGTGTTACTTAGTGATTGGTTGACAATTCGACTTCATACTGGTGAATGCACGGATAAGCTATTGCCTGACATATCGGACGACCCTAGTTCAAATGTTCTTTGAATGATGGGACGACTATTTTGCGATGATAAGGCTGGTGTGGCAAAGCTGGTATGCCTCTGTTGGCATGCGCATAGATATACGTCGGATGGGTGGCCGACGTTACAGGCGACGTCGACTGTAGCGGTACGGTTTAAAGGGTATGTCGTTCGCGTTCAGATATGTGGGCCTGAGCATGTTTGAGTTGTTGTTTTAACATGCATATTTGTTGCTTCATCATATAAAGCATGTCCATATTAGACGGAGCTGAGGCATTTAGAGTGGCAGTAGATAAATGCGCACTGATTTTGATGCATAGATGCTGGCACAACGGATGAAATGGCGACAAATTAACGTTAACACTTAGTGGTGAGCAAACAAACGAACGATGAAATATAATATAAATTACAGACTGTAAATTAATGCATTTCACGGCATCGGGATTCTGATTTTAGCATGCGTATTTGCACAAGTTTTGTTTACAGTTTTTTCAATACAGGTTTGCTTTGGTGATATAAAAGATGATCGAACAAAAGCCGTTGCTCGAATTTATATGGCAATTCGATTAACGGATTAACAAACAGCAAACCGGGAATGGAACAACCCTGTGTTCCAAATGCAAATGCAAATTTATTCAGTTACAAAAATCTCAAACTATTACAGAGTAGCCAGAATTACATTAACAAAGGACTTATACTTATGACGAAACATATCTCGCTAAACTATCACAATGAATACCATTCTACTAACGAGCAAATGGTGAGAGTAAATTTTTTTCAATTACTATTTAAGTAACAAAGTTCATTACATATGTACCCTGATATGTGACCCTTATCGCAAGATTATGGCGGCAAATGCCAAGTATCCAAGAGCACGGCACGATTATTTTATTTGGAGCTCTTCCATAGAGCGAATAGTAATGCCGCGTAGTATGAAAATGCAATCCAGAACATGTTTTTGTTTTGATAAACTTTATAATGCATTGTTATTAATTTAATAAAAATAATTTCTATAACAAATTCATTTGTTTTTTCATTCCTCTTTGTGCTTTTCGCATATTTTGACGTTTTGTTAAGCTGTGGTGCCACCTTTCCTTCATGTTAATAAAAGGGAAATGTTCGTTGTCGATTATCTTAAAAACTGAGTTAGAGAAGCCCATAATCCATACCGCAAGCGACAAAATTCGGAACTTTGCGAACCGACATATCGAGTCGATAAAAGTTATAGAAATGCATTGCTGATTATCATTCCAAGCGATCTGTAATGCACAAATTTTTATAGAAATTGAGTCTCTATTCAAGGTGTATGGTCACTTTGTACAAACAAATTATTGTTAAAGCCTTTCTTCGATTAATATCGCTTATATCTATTTCAAGTTTAGCCGTGTTAAAAAAAAAGTTGCGTAGTGTGGTATATAACTAAGTTTGGGTATGATGAAAATATATTATATTTGTTTTCTTTTATCTACATACAATGTTTATAAAGGGATATAGAAATTTAGTCGGCCCGCAAAGTGTTTTTAGATTATTACGAGAATGCTCTTTCAATGTCTTATGGAAAATATGTGTATCTAAGAGGTGTATACATTTTTTATTTGTTTCTAATATCGCACGTAAGCAGGAGTGGGGTTTAGCTTTACCACATTTTTTCTTAACTCATTTATAAAATTCTCATGATATATTGATATTTAATTAAACTTTTCATTATATATCGCTTCATCGCATCACTTAGTGTGTATGTATACATGGGAATCATTATGTGGTACATATGGATGTGTATTTTGTAAACAAAACTAACAAGAATTTAAAGTTAAATTTTATAAAATTTCTATTGGTGGACTCCTCGTTTTTGTGTTTAAATAAAATTTCAAATCTTTGAATATATGTGGTGCTCTGATATTGGTTAAATAAAGTTTTTTCTTTGGCGTATTTAAAGTGTTAGCGTATGCGGAAGCCGTGATGGTGCATATTACCATGCGGAGTTACATGGGTTCGAACCCTTACAAGACCAACAAAATTTGTAGAAAAATTTCAGTTTGGTCTTCCTTAAACCTGTACGAAAGAAAAAGCTTTTATTAAACACCACTAAAAGTTAAAACAGTTCAGGCAGGTAACTTTAAATTTTCCATTAACTTGTTTTACATACAAATAACTTAATAATGAAAAAAAATTTTATTTTCTATTAATTTTATCATATCAACGTCATTTTCGTGTTATTTTTGGGATGTTCCCGAAAGTAATTTAATAAAAATTGCATATATTCGCATTTTTTGGTATTTGTCTTGTACTTTTAAACATTTTAGATTCTTTTGATTTAATAATTTAATCAATTTATATACGATGTTATTGTATTGTAACGATTTTGTTTCGACCACTGGATTGTTAAATAAAAGTCGCAAGACTTGTATTACAATTTCTTAATTATAAAGAATTTTATTAACGTTTTTTTTTACTCTAACTAACAATTCGCTTTAGTATTCGTAACGACTTCTTTTACCCTTCTATCAGAGCGCACGATAATATTTTGATTCTAAACAAGAAAAATTTAGTCAACGACATGAAGGCGTTTCGTTTCGGGGCCCTGTTATCAAAATGAAATAAAATCACTAACGTTGAAACCGTATAAACTCATCGTTAAAGTTAATTTTAAAAGGGCTGCTTGCAATGATGTGAAAGCACAATTCAATTTTAACGTTTAATAGTGACTTTTACCAATTTAACATCAACAGGCCTATTCTGTCGAGGTAACAAAATTTAGCTAGGTATTATAATTAAGCATTCAGTAAATTTTGTTACCAATTCGTATTCTGAGCTCACTGTTACCCTGTAAATTTGTGCACCGTCTTCCATTTCGATGTGAATATTTTTTTTTTATTAACTGGCAAATGTAATTTGACATGGACGAAAAAGCAGTGCTGGCAAATTTTTTTTCAAACATTGTAACCAGTTCGCCAGAATACCAAATTTAATTTCGGGTGTTAAAGAAAAGTAACAAAATTTACTTTACCGGTAACAGTGAGAATAGGCCTGTAAGGAGAACTTTTCGTTTCGGGTAAAAGCGAAAAGAAATTAGTTCGATAACTATTATCGTTAATATTTCCAAATGTTTCAACTGGAACGATAGAAATTTTCCAATAAAGTCAAATATATAGTTACGATACAGCCTTGATTTTCAGTTATCATACACATTTGCCGTACATTGAAAGATTATTTTTCATTCTATTACCCGCATAGTCGAATTTATCAAAAAACTATTTTTTAACAAAATATGGGGTGCGTTCCAAAACGTTAAAATACTTTCGCTGTTTCGTAACCGCGCCGATACAATGCAACCCTGTATTCTATGAATTTGCCTTGCAACAATACTTTGCAAACTCTTGACATTTCGCAACGCTTTTCGTGCAAATAAGTTGCTTTTCGGTGAAATGGCTAAAATTGAATAGATCAAAAAAATAAGTAATATAATGTTTAAAAAAATAATTCAGCCCTCGGCCGTTGTTGCTAAGAATTTATAATGAAACAAAGCATCACAAATATTAGCGATGGACAGTTTGCTTTTTTTTTTGGGCATCAATCACTTTATTTCGGAGCATGATACATCGAAAAAGTTTGCATAGTTGCATTTAGGAATGCGTGACAATGTATGGTTGCTTTGCTTTGATGTTTTGGAAAATCACCCATAGTTTCCAAATTAATTATAGATTAATTATCAATATAACTAAACATTTCTATTAATAATAACTTATATATCATTTAAAAAACTCCCCACTAACAAAAAAGTAACTTTCACACTTTTTCTTAGGTGCGACACGAAAAATCTTTTTAGTAAATGTGGTGAGGAAATTATATAAAAATGAAGCTTGTTATAAGATTATAAATTAGTTCCTGGGTCGACTGAATTTGTTTTTGTTATAAAAATATTAACAGTTTTTTTTTTTTTTACCTTATTAGTGTCCGCTCACTAGTTTTTAGTCAACAATTTTATGCTTTAAAACGACAATCAATATTGAAATGTTAACTCAATGTATTATATGTAGCTCCAACTCTCAAATTACGAAAAATTAAAGAAAAGCATCAGAGCTTCACAAATCAAAATGAAGGGCGATGTATTAATTACTTTGAAATCCTTTGGCATAATGCAAGCAAATTGCTATATCATTTATTTGTAGTAGTGTTATTTGTATATACAGTGAAGGGCTAAAGCCTACATACAGTTTTCCTGTTTCCTGAAATTTGAATATTAAAGGGAAAACTAATGATGCAGTTTTGGTAAATATTCATATTTATTCACAAAAAAACAAAACAGAAATTAGTTCATACGCTAAATAACGGGGAAAAAACAAAACAAAACAAATAATTAAGATGACAGAAGATTACATACTGCGCACTGGGTATGAATGATCAAAGCAAGCGTTGCAAAATATGCCGTTATTAAAACTTTTTGTAGTAGTCAACCAAAAAGTAGAAACCATAGGCAACAATTTAGTATCTGTTTCATTGGTGTACTAGTTAAATAGAAAAAAATGGCTTCAAGAAAGGATGTCTTCTGAATTGACGCACTTGATAATAAAACACAGGCAGTACGCCAAATATTAAACTTAAGTAGAGCTACAGTCTAAACAAGAAATTACAATACGACTAAACCATACGAGAGCAAAGCGCAGACTGGCAGACCAAAAAAGCTTTCCAGGAAGGAAATAAGTTCTATTTTAAAAGAATTGAAAACAAATCCAAATTTAGAGCTACAAAATTAACTGAGCGCATTGCCAATATAGCCGAAAAAATTACCCATCCCAGAACTGTATGCAGGGCACTGAATATTCCCTAATAAAAAACACTGATGTCAGAAAAAAAGCGTAATCTTCGACTGGAGTCTGCCAACTCTCAAGACAGTCGGTTCAACGTACAGGAGTTGACGCGGACAAGGTTAAGTTAACCGGACAAGGGCCGCACCAATTCGGGGACCTAACCCGGTTTAGGTCAACAGGTAACACTAGTAAAAGTTTGCCCAGCAGCTCCTAGTCCCCCGCACAGTCTGTTCCGTGTGTCAGACCATAGTGCATCGGAATATGACCTCAGTCAGATGCAACTCATACAAGCATACCGTCAACCGACACCACCTTGCGGAATCAACTTCTGCAGCAACACGCTCCATCTACGCATCACTCCTTCAGCCTCCGAATCACGAACGTTTGTGTATTAAATGGGAAAACTAATGGCGCAGTTTTGGTTAACATTCATATTTATTCAAAAAAAAAAAAAAAAAACAGAAATAAACGTGGCTGGGTGCGTGGTATGAGAGTCATTCATTTATAGATTTTGGAATTGCTTGGAATCATTGTATTTTTGGAAAGTCCAACCGAATGAATTGTACTTCGATTTTTCCGTAAATAAAACTTTTGACCAAAAATCTTTCCTTTGTCAATATGCTCCCGTGCAAACTCCAGTTGTTGTTGTTGTTGTAGCGGATCTTTATCCCCGCTTAGGGACTGGTTAATGAATCTAAGTCTCCGAGATCATCTAACGGAAGGTACAAGAAACGTGCTGTTTCGATGGGATCGGACCACAGGGAGAGGGAGATAGATTCTTCGGTTTCAGGGAGATTGTAAAGAGGTGGTTAGTTTCGTGCGGAGACTCTCTACATGAAGGACATACGATGGGTATGCTACAGAATCCACCCTATCTCGAAACAAAACCTATTTATTTAATATAGTAGTTTCATATAATGAAAAATGTAAGACTGTTAATCAGATTACCACACATTGAATATCGGTTTCAATTTCGAAACAGAATTTGTATTGATTTTGTATGTTACAGAAACTGATTTATCGGTTAAGTGTCAGAATTAAATTGAGCAGTTAATCGTTGACAGAATTGTGTTAGCTTCTTTGCAATCGGAAATTTAATTAAAGTGTCAGTCATAAATAATGGGTTTTATAACCATTTGTCTTTTTTATCAGCAAATGTAAAAGTAGAATGCAAATTAAACTTACATCGACCCGTAACAGTTCCAGCGGATTGCTCTTATCCCTTAAAAATTTACGCTTTTGTTCTTGCTGGTTTCTCCAACTCTTTGATTAACCTGTCCCTAAGCGGGGTTGTTGCTACAACAACAGCAAAAACAACATCAATTCGGGTTCAGAGTACTTATTGCATATAAGAAAGTTCTTTCTTACTTCAAGCACGTCGTAATCTTATACATAAAAAAAACCACCTAAATTTTTTGTCTTGAAATTTCGTCAGATTATTTTTAGGTTTCCTGGGATGGTTTACAAGCTATCACTTTGAAGTCATTGAAATAACAAATGTTTTACTGTCAGTTACAAGATTGTTTGTTTCCAGCTAATTCGAAAATTGGTTTTGCTTATCTTGAAAAAAAGCAAAATCAAGTGGAGTTACGTTCAAAAAGATATTGATTTTCAATTCCTATAAATTAGCAATTCTGTGTCGATTTCTGCAACACCTCTGATTATAGCAAAGAGTAGTGGTCATACTAAGATAATTTTTTTATTTATGCATGTATCGAATTGCACATCAGTAAAAATTATTTCTTGCATTCAATAATTTTTTATTTTTTTATTTTAGGTATCAAATGTATTCCGTGAAAACCAAAGAATGTTAGGAATGAATCGTCGTGGAATTAATTCCGTGCCTACAATATCATCTCAATCAGCAATGGACGAGAACAGTTGGAAGAATATGAATGTACCCGAAAGCACAACGCTTTTGACTAATACAAACAACAACTCAAATATGAACAACGATGGGTCAAATCAAAGTGGATTTCCGCAAAGCAGTATTGCATATAATTCAAGTAACAGCCAATATCCTCAAGGTGGTCAATCATCGCCGGCTGGCAATCAATCAATAATTTTTCAGAACACAAATCCCCCAGGATCTAATACTCCTCAGTATACTTCATCGCCTGCCCCATCTGGTTCATCGACACCTGGTCCTGTTGTGCAACAAAATATTGGAGGCTCTTACACACAATCCACTGGCTCTGGATCCTTTAATGGATCAGTAGGAGGACCGTTTGGTTCGCCATCTTCAAATATAGCTCAATTTAACAGACCATCAAGTTCTGGAACACCATTTAGCGCCACCCAGGGAGGTCATTTTGCTTCGCAAGCAGTTTTTGGAGTAGGTGGTCAATTCGGCAGCTTACCAACAGCATCACCTTTCAGTCATACAGGTACTCATGGAATGATAGGGAATCCGCAGCAAATAGAACGTATGGAACAGGGATTCAGGCGTCATAATTCTTATTTTAGTCATACCGAACATCGAGTGTTTGAATTAAATAAGCGTCTTCAGCAACGTACAGACGACAGTGATAACTGCTGGTGGGATTCTTTTACTACTGAGTTCTTTGAAGATGATGCGAGATTAACAATACTATTTTGTTTAGAAGACGGTCCAAAACGATATACTATTGGGAGAACTTTAATACCTAGATTCTTTCGTAGTATTTACGAAGGTGGTGTGTCTGATTTGTACTTTCAGCTTAAACATGCAAAAGAGTCGTTTCATAATACAACAATAACGCTTGATTGTGACCAATGCACAGTTATTACACAACATGGAAAGCCATTTTTTACTAAAGTATGTGCTGATGCGAGACTAATATTGGAATTCGTGTATGATGATTATATGCGGATAAGATCGTGGCACATGACAATCAAAGGACATAGAGAGCTTATTCCAAGGTCCGTAATAGGCACAACAATGCCTCCTGATCCTATGTTATTAGATCAAATAACAAAGAATATTACGAGGGCAGGAATTACTAATTCTACCCTAAATTATTTACGATTATGTGTTATCCTTGAGCCCATGCAAGAATTGATGTCGAGGCATAAAGCATACGCCCTCAGTCCACGCGATTGTTTAAAAACTACGCTTTTTCAAAAATGGCAAAGAATGGTTGCTCCTCCAGGAAAAAAGGATCCACAAAGACCAGCTAACAAAAGACGCAAGCGAAAAGGTTCAAATTCCGGCGGAGCCGCCAATGCTGGTACGCCTCCAGTAACTAATCAAAAACGATCTCCTTCTGGTCCCAATTTTTCTCTGTCTTCACAAGATGTAATGGTTGTAGGTGAACCAACTTTAATGGGTGGTGAGTTTGGCGAAGAAGATGAAAGACTAATAACCCGTTTAGAAAATACTCAATATGATGGAACAAATCCTGTTGAACATGAAAATCATTCTGGGTTTGGTCATGCAGACTCTCCAATATCAGGATCCAACCCTTGGAATATTGATCGAACTGGAAACATTCCCTCAAGTCCTGGCAATGCTTCCGTGCAACAAAGTAATTCGAATATATCTGAAATTGACAAAAAGAGTCCAATTGTTTCACAATAAATGACACCATTTTAAGTGTACCTATAGATTTGTGTATGTATATCATTATATATACAAATGAATAATAATTTTATTTGAAAAAAAAATGTAGCTCTGCGAATTTTTTAATTTAAATAAAAATCAACTTATCAATTATCTAAGGAGTTTTTCAACTGAATTTATTGGTGACGTATATGTCCCCTAAAACCGACAAATCTAACCCCCCTCTCCCTAAGGTCTGATCCCGACGAAGCAGCTCGTTTCTTCGACCTCCCGTCAAGGTGGACCAACCGCTACAAACAAAACAACAACTGCTGCCAGAGTTTTAGTGGTCATGCAAAGAGGTGGTTGCGTGCTGCCAGCAAAGTTTCTTTATCTTTTACACAGGTGCTGTCGGCTAATGCTTTGTGGATTTTGTATCAGTTCTGGAGTTTTGCGGCAATTGCGGTCGTATGCCGAGTGAGGGAGTGCAGGCTACGGAATACGACTGACAGGACTAATCAGGATTCCTCAATGTCTGACAGTAATACTGAATGGTTGACCGTGCCAAAAGCTTTTACAGGTCTAGCGCAATCAAAACAGTTCGCACACAGGGCAATGGTTGAGGCCATTGACCTTGTGAGTGTTTATGGCGTTAAGTGCAGTTTTGGTACTGTGCACATTGCGTAAGCCATGATGATGTGCTGCTTGACTCAGATGGTGCGTGAAAGTCAGGAGCAGTAAGGCTTCAAGAGTCTTCGCTACTGGGAGTGGATAGTTATCGGCCGTTATGATACTCCTCTGTTTTCTGGTTTCCCCGGTTTGAGTAGCGGGACCATTCTACCCATTTTCCACACGTCAGGTATTATTAGTGTGGTCAAAGGCAAGTCTATGGTCTATGCAGACAAAGTTGTGAGGTCTGTCAAACGTGAACTGTATGCTTCAGTGGTACGATGCAAAAGTTAGCATAGGTCGCCAGGCACTCCTGTTTATCAGACCAGCACTCGCAATTATTACGTCTGGCGAGCTTTGGCATTTACCCACATCTCAGCTGGGCAATTTGCAACAGGAGGGATGTATATATTGAATATTTTGAGTTCGACATCAGCTGACCGCTAATAGGATAGGATATGATAGGATCGCCCGGGCCATACGGATGATTTTGCATCCGGATCGCAGCAATTGACAGGTGATCTTGGCTCGTTAGAGCAATTGTGTTTGTCTCCGCGGTAACGTATACGTATCTTAGGAAGTAATTCGTGTGTCTAGTGTGTAGCTGCTAGATTGGGAGACTAACGTTGGTGTTGGTTGGCGGCGATGTTGTAGATATAGGAGAGGGCAGACTCTTACAGCATGGGTCCACTCCAGGCCAAATCACTTCCGAAAATGGCACCAGTCAGAGCAGAAGTTACTCAGGCTGTGTCCGACGTACTATGGTCTGACACGCGGAAAAGAATGTGTGGAGGAGGAAGTGGGGCTGGATTTTGGTAGAGGTGGGGATTGTAGGAATAGTCGAGTGTTTTTATTCCTCTATCTTTTTCGCCTATCTATTTGAGCTCTCTTTTCGTTTCCGTTTCGCCATGAAGCTCTTGTCTTTTCTATGATCGCGATAATCTGCAGCTCAAATTAAATAATGCCATAATACTGATGTTTAATACCTCTACTTTGTATTTCGCTTCTTGAGTAATTTCTTCGTGTTAGACGTGCGCTTAGCAGGGCGCACCAAAGAAAGAGACGAAAGAGATGTAAAGCTCTTGGGGCACATCCCACAAGTGTGGAATAAAGCGGGAGTAATCTTTATATCAAAGGGAGGCATGAAATGTAATATTCATCCAAAGGACTTTCAACCAATGAGCCTTGCATCTTCGCTATTAAGAATTTTAGAGAGAATGCACAACGTTTAGATACTGGTTCTCTTCACTAGAAGGTATGTACAAATCGTTGATTTTCTTCATATACAAAGGCAGAAAGGTATAAAAACGATACTACCGCACTCTACGCTTACAGGGCGGCAATTAGTGAGAGGAGAGGACTAAAACCACATATGTACTGGATATACAAAGCGGTAATTAGACCCATATTATTCTACGGAGTCACTGTCTGGTGGCCAGCTCTAGGCAAGGCTACTTATTTATTTAAGGTGCGCTGCTCTCAAATACTTCGAAAGTTCTTAAATTCTGTTTATTTTTCTCCCGGCAGACCTATACGGTAGACCTTATGCGAGATGCAACGCCATAAGACTAAATGCAACTCGACCAGGGAGGAACCGTAGCCTTATCCTTGCTATGGCTTGCGTATCCGTAAATCAAAAAACAAAAACCTTTATTCGGTAGGAATAAATTTATTAAGTTTCCACTGAAAAGGATTCAGTAGAAATTAGCCTGCATGTTGCGTAATAGTTGTGTATTTTGGCAGTTCGCTTATTCAAACAGTCTGTTGTTTTATTCTTTTAAGCATTTTATTAAACTTTAACATTGCATACTGACATTCGGAAGGATCGGTGCAACCAACATCCAAAAAGTTCCGGAAATTTAATTTGAATAAAATAAAATTAAGTTAAAGTTTCTAATTGCGGTCGCCCCTCCGAGTGTATTTCGGACATGAAATAAAGGCTCCTCGTAAACAAGCCATCAGCCGTCCGGAGGCGGCATTTCTGTACGGACGAAGATTTAAGGTGTCTTCCAACAATTTATAGCTTAGATTTTTAAAAACGATGCTTAAAATAAGAAAATGAATTCTTTTCATTTTCATTGTGACGGTTCCTTTGGTGGACAGTTCTTCCGACTGAATTTAAATAAATTTAAAATCAGCTGGATTTGTCAAAAAATAAGAATATTTTCTAACTCTATGTATTTTTGAATGCTTAAAACTAAATTATAATCGAGTTAACTCAAGTTAATATAGAAGCTCTTTAAACTATGGCGCACTCATTATTTGATTGGGAACATCTCTTCGCCGCAGTCAGAAATTTCTCGTTGGGTTGGACGAAACATCAGCTATTGAGTTATGATGATTTATAAGTTTTGTGGGGCACTCCGTTCTGCTCCTTTCAACTTCAGGCTTAACCAGTAGGAAACCGAGGTCTTTGGTTTTGGGTAGCACTGTTAAATGAGAAAGCGCAGATATTTATTGAAAATTGTTCGCGAGTTTTGTGATCACATCTCGGAGGAATTCACTGAAATTGGTGGAATTGCATCAAACTTTGAGGGAAGAGCCGAGGCATTCACTTCTTTTCGGAGGAGTTTACTACATCTGGGACCAAAGCCAATTGAATAAAAAGTTAAAAGTAGACTTCATGGCTCATGTGTGAATTATGAAAATATGAACTCAATGGCCAGAAAATAACAGTGTATGTACGAAATCAGTTAAATTTTATTACAAAATTTTTTTCATAATAAATTAACAAAAAATATGAAATATTGTGTTTCCCAAAGAAAAACCGGCGATTTCTCATACAGACGGCGTTGAAAATTTTTTTTGAGCAGCTTGTGAATATTTAATTATATTTTTCCTTTTGACAGTTATAAGCTGTCACTTTTAGCTTGCTTTGGCAAAAAAGTAAGCGCAATTTTGTTTATACTTGTTTGTTGACATCAATTTTAACCTGGAGCTCACAAAAAAATATTTTCGCCATATCTTACTTTATTATTTCCTAAAAGGAAAAAATGCAGCGCAGGTTTCTGAAAAGTTGTTTAATTTGTGTGGTGATAAGGCTTTACAAAGAAAAATAGTGTCGAAATTGGTTTGTCAAATTCCTTTCGGGAGATTTTTCACTCAAAGATAAGCCACGTTCAGGTCGGACAAGTGAAGTTGATGCTGACGATATCACTGCTTTAATCGAAGCGGATCGTCATTTAACTCTCCGAGAGATTGGAGAGAAGTTAAGTATACCAAAATCAACCGTTCATATTAATAGTCGACGTCTTGGACTTGTATTGAAAGAAATTCGTTTAACAAGCCGCTTCAACGCTTGTATTATGTATCTTAAACTCAATGATTATGATCCGTTTTTGAAGCAAATCATAACTGAAAACCAAAGTAATTCGGATATCTACTGTGAACCACTTGCCAAATTGAATACATCCGTCAACGAGAAGCGGCTTTAAAATCGGATTTGGCTCCGTTTTGTTGCAGATAAAGGACAGAAAGATGGCTGAAGGTTATTCAACAAAATGAAAGTTACTTAATTGATTAAAGCTCATTATAAAATAAATAAAAAATGTATTTTCTTTTCCCGGGGCAATGCCATAGTATACTCATATATGTGTATACATTTTATTCCTTGCGCTGAGGGACGCGAACCAAAGCCGCTTTTTCATTAAAACCATGCACGCACAGAAATTTTTTATTGGAAAAAAATTAAAGTTTTTTATTTAGAAAAACAAAATTAAATTTATGCAACTTATATATGTTATTCATTTCTATTTATCTATGTTAATTTAATTAGCAATTGAATTGGCTCATTTAATTCGATTAGCTTCATTTTGAGAATAGTTGAGCGAAACGATTTCAACTTTAATTATTCATTGATATCGACGTATAATTCCGAATATCCTTTAACCACATAGACCAATTTCAATTATTGTTCTGTTATAGATAGGACATACCTCAGAGTTGGTCCACCAAAAATCTGGAAACAATATTTTTTTACCCCTCCGAGAAGTAATGATTTCTCATTGATGTTAACGTATAACATTCCATCTCCTGATGCTATGTAGTCCGATGTATTGTAGTTTCGATTTTTTTTACTGTAAAGGGTATACCTTAGGGCACACGTGCATATACATCAATACAAAAAAATCATTTGTGTGTTCGGAAAGCAGTAGGAAACTAGACACACCGAGTATCCGAACTGAACAAAATCCATAAACGCAATTAAAGAACAGTCCACCTAAGCGCCTGTTGTTTTCCTGTGCGGAATATTCCAGGCACTGGCGTAGTAGGTCAGGAATGCAGATTACTGCCTCGGCAAAGTAGCGGGTAGCGGATCATCAAGATCCAAAAACAGCAAGGTACGAATGTAAAAGGCTTGCCAGGAGAATTCTATAAAGGTGGATACCTTAATGAGTGACCTTGTAAGCAGAGTACAGAGCAGCGAAGCAAGTGACCATCTTTTGCTGATGGTGCAAAA